TCCAGTCTGTGTCACACTCTAGCCAGAGAGAAACTTCTAAAGGCGAATCTGGTCATGCTAGTTCCTGCTCAAGATGATCCGTGGCCTCCCATTGCCTGTGGGTGAGGTTCACGCCCTCATGTCACCTTTAGGACCTTCAGCTGGGTCTCCAGCTCCCCAGGCTCGCTCTCAGCTCCCACCAGGTCCTCTCAAGACTCACCTCCTGCCCTGCATCAGCCTTCTCTCCACCCACCTTCCGTCTCCCCCAAGCCCTGTTCTTTGGGTTGTTGCTTCCAGCGAGTATTTTCTGACTTTTCAAATCTGGATTTAGAGCCCTCATTATGTGGACCCACAATGCTCAGATTTTGCCCAGTTCTGACGTGTATGCAGTAGCATTTTAATCACTTGCTTAATTGGCTCTTTGCTGTAAGAGACTATGAATTCTGTGGTGGTGGAGACCAAGTGTAGCTTGTTTATTCCTAGAACCTGGCACAGCATCTGATGGGCAATAGGTATGTATTAAATTAGGTCTGTGACTGTCTAAAGCAGCTGTCGCCAACCTTTCGGACCTCACGGACCACCGGTTCGCGACCACTGATCTAAAGTACCTATTTCCATGCCCAGCACATAGGAGAGTATCAATAGGTGATGGTGTATTTTATTGGTTACCATTATGTACGACAGCTGAAACTTTTACTCTCTATATAGGCCAATGATGGCGAACCTTTTGAGCTCGGCGTGTCAGCATTTTGAAAAACCCTAACTTAACTCTGGTGCCGTGTCACATATAGGAATTTTTTGATATTTACAAAGACTTATATTTTTGATATTTATTTTATATATTTAAATGCCATTTAACAAAGAAAAATCAACCAAAAAATGAGTTCGCGTGTCAGAGGTTTGCCATCACTGATATAGGCAATAATTTCACATGAACAATTTCCTGATAAGCGTTGAAACATGGCCACTAAAGGTTATGGCTGATCTTTGCTGATAAAACTCTGAGATGTGGCAAGAGCAGAGCCACTGTCCAGTGGTTTGAAGAGTAACACCAAGAAGAGGTGGAGACCAAACAAAGATGAATTTGTAAAAATGGTTACTGAAAAGGAAAATACTTAGGAGGGCAGTAGTTAGAGAGGCAGCTGGTCAAAGGAAATCTGTTTAGCTGGCGAAAGAACACGGGGCCTGTTCACGGGCTGAGGACGAGAGTCCATGCAGGCAGGTGCAGAAACAGGTGTGCAGTCGGATTGGGCTTGCGAGTAAAAGCGCAGGGCTGGCACCTGAGGGAAGAAGGCATCTCACATCATGATAAAGAAAAGAAGATGGGGCGGGGAGGCGGGAGTGTGTGCGGGGGCCTCGGGAGAAGCAAGGGTCATGGTAAGAGTGATGCACGCGCGTTCTATTCTGTTGCCCAAACTTACTGCCATTTTTCTTTTTACCCATTAGCTGTTCGGGGGACTCGTCTGGATTTTGGTTGCTTCCTCCAATGTTCCTCTACCTCTGCTCCAAGGATGGGTCATGTTCGTGTCCGTGACGGCTTTTACCCTTTCCCTCCTCTTCCTGGGGGTGTTCCTCTCTGGCATGGTGACTCAGATCGATGCCAACTGGAATTTCCTGGTAAGGGATTTTTAAGTCTTTTTCAGGAAAATGTGGGAAACATAACTATCTCATTCTGTCCCAAAATGCCTGATCTCTGTTCTGTCTATTGCCGCTCGTGGGAGAGAAAAGGTCAGACAGCAGCGTCTGCTTTGCCCAGCTTGTGAGATCCCTGTGCTGATAGAGCGGAGCAATCTTTCTGTTGCTCCTTTATGAGTTAGATGACCTTTGTTCACAGTTCACACAACAAATAAATTGGATTGTAGTTATTGAACAGATGCTTTTGACAGGTTCTGTGACATATATCTTGAAATTTTCCACTGATTTCTGTTTCAGATATTAAATATATATTCTTTTCAGAAAACAAGTAGCTATATATTCTGCTCTCCGAATATTTAGGAAAAAAAGGGGGTGATGATTTGTATTTATAGGCATACCTGAGAGATGTTGCAGGTTTGGGTCCAGACCACCACCATAAAATGAATATCGCAACAAAGCCAGTCACACAAATTTTGTGGTTTCCCAGTGCATATAAAAGTTATTTTTGCACTACTTAGTGTAGTTTACTTAGTGTGCCAATAGCATTATGGCTAATAAAAAATGTATGTGCCCTTAATTTAAAAAATACTTTATTGATTAAAAATGCGAGGGTTTTTAATTGGCCTAATTTTAATATTCTTGTGTCTCATGGAAAAAGGAGGTCAGAGGATGGGGGAGAGAGTGAGGTACAGCCAGAGCAGAGCATACAACATCTATTAAGTCTGCCATCTTATATGGGTGCACTTGATGGCACCCCAAAACTAATACAATAGTAACATCAAAAATCACTGATCTTGCCCTGGTGGATGTGGCTCAGCTGGTTGGCATCGTCCAGTGCACAGAAAGGTTGCAGGACACATACCTCGGTTGCAGGCTAGATAGCTGGTACGGAGTGTGCAGGAGGCAGCCAGTCAATGTTTTCTCTCTCTCCATAACGAATATAATAATGAAAGAGTTTGGAATATTGTGAGAATTACCAAACTGTGACACAGAGACGTGAAGTGAACAAATGCAGTGCCAAATAGTGCAAAAATACTCAACTCAGGGTTGCCACAATCTTCAATTTGTAAAAAGCATGGTACCTGAGAAGTGCGATAAAGCAAAAGCACAACAAAATGAAATATTACCTGCATTTTCGATTCCTGTGCTAAAAGGTCAAGAATTGGTAAGTTTTAAGGAATGAATTTGCAACCAGCACAATTTTAACAGTACAACACCATTAAATTGGGTCAACATATCCCTTTTTTCTTGTAACACGGGGGGCCTCTTTCATACTTGTGGTTATTCATTCTCTCATATCTCAGAATGGCCCAGTGGAGCATGAATTTCAATCCGTGGTGGACATGCTCTAACAAAGTTCATGACGAACCCACCTTTGATTTCCATCCCACAAAGGTGTTTAGAAGCGTAAGTCAGGCCTTTAGTCTGGTGTTGTATGTGTCCCTTTCAAGTGCAGCAGCATTTTACTCAGCAGCTTTAGGACAGCTGTTAGAGGAAATTTGTTCTCGTCTTATTTGTAGAGCATGATGAGGGCTGTCATCCCAAGTGTTATCAATAGCGAAGTCTAGTGAATGTGGCTGCCTGCCTAAAACCAAATGGCAGGGGTTAGTGTAAAGGTAAGGGGGACATGTGGCAGGAGTGAGTCACACACAGGCTTCGGGATTAGACCTGGTTCACTTGGTAAGTGTGTAGCCTCAGGCAAAATAGTGAACCTCTATAAATTTCATTTTCTTCCTCTATAAAATGGTAATAGTCATACCTACCTCACCAGATGCTATGTAGGAATCACAGAATTAATGTACTATAGTATAAAGTGCTCAGCTTTGTGTCTGGTTCATAGGAAGAGATCAGTAATCATTGTCATTCCTCAGACACGCTGAGGCTTGCACCAGAAATGTTTAAGAGTCCTTGAGTTTCTTAGGTTGCTGGTGCAGTGTGCTCTGACCTTTTTGCTTTGATTTCTCATTAATGATGAGAAAATATTTCTAGTAATTGGTCAAGGAATGAAGATCAAAGGTCCCTATTTAAGTTACAGGTAGATGCTTAATCTCCTCTTTCTAAATGCCTGGCTTTCCCATAATATGTATGAAGGAATCAGTGTCCCTAATATTGGTAAGCACCACCAGGCTATTGTAGCATCAGGCTCAAGGATGATATTCGACAGTGTGTACCAGTATAGCCCTACCACTGCTTTAGTAGTAGTTAATACAGTCATTGCCACAACCTACTGCCTTTTCCCAATGGTTGTGACCTTTATCACCCTAGCCCCGTGGTCAGCAAACCGCAGCTCGTGAGCCACATGCGGCTCTTTGGCCCCTTGAGTATGGCTCTTCCACAAAATACCACGTGCGGGCGCGCATGTAGAGTGTGATTGAAACTTCGTGGCTCATGCGCAGAAGTAGGTTTTCGGCCTGGGCGAGTCTATTTTGAAGAAGTACTGTTGATTCTGGCTCTGTTGACTAATGAGTTTGCCGACCACTGGTCCTCTGGGACTTCCTGGACCTGCTACCAGCGCAGCAACTAAAGGGTTAATTATTGGAAAAGCACCGAGTCACCAGGATCCTGCAGGGCCCAGCATTCTAATTGGTCAAAGCACATTCCTCGTGAATATTTAAATAATTTTCCAGTAACACTCCTGATTTTATTAGACATATGTCCATACCACCCTTTTCCTTTTTGTTCATATTGCTTTATCATTGGTATTGAATACAATCATTCATACCCTTTTTAATTTATTAGGTTTCCTAAGAAGTTAGAAAGACCTACCTACCAGTCTGTTCTATAAGTAACCTACAAAGGTTATCCTGTGATTTGTTTTGTCTGTTTTTAGCTGATTATTCCATACTTAAATGCTCGCCATGTTTAGAAATGGCTCAGGTTTTTTTTTTTCTCCTCTTTTGAAATTTTCAACATACTCTGCCTTTTTGACTACCTGGTCGCTTTTTTTTTTTTCAAGTATATATACTCTTTATTGTATTCCTTCATTTGCATTAAACAATATAATATTTATATTTTCAATATAGTTTTGGACAAAACAAGAAGACATGAACCTCACTGAATAAGAGACATAAGTACAATGCATGTTGTCTTCATGGGAAGAGAAAAGAGGCAAGAAAGAGCTAAGACAGATAAGGGAACCCAGGATACTGGCTACCAGGAATCACAGAATTTCACAATACAGTCCACTTTTTGAAAAGCCACAAAGAAGCTAGGAATGAAAAGTTGAAACAAAGTAGACATGACATACAAGTCTACCAAAAATATGTAGATAGTAAGATCTGGAGATAATTTGCCTTGTACCATGGGGACAGCTGACGGAGTTACAACCAAGTGCCACGGTGGCAGCGAGCTTCATGGGCGGTTGCAGATGGCTTCTGATTGCTTGTCCTCACATTTTAAGCAGCAATGGGAGAGAGTAGCATGCTCCATAGGTCTCATCACCAATATGATGACCTATTTAAATTCCTTCTAACTCAGTTATAAGACAAAGCCATTAAGTGTATTGGAATGGACGTTAAAGGACTGAGGGGAGAGAGCTATAAGTGATATTTTTTTTTCTGGAGAAGAGTGTTCTATTTAGATGCTAGACAGTACAGGTAATTAAAGGAAGGATACATCCTAAGTCATTAAGCTAAGGAAAAAAGAAAAGTGGTGATGCTAATAAGCCTTTAGTATTATACTAAGGAACTGACCCATTTAGAGTTGGACTCTAATCAATGCTGAGAGGCTTGTAAATTATTTTAACAACTCCTTTCTTTATAGGGGTATAGGCTTTTTCCATACATCTTTCACAAGTTTTTAACAACACCTACCAGGTGGTAATGATTAGCATATCTCTTACCACAGAGGAAATCAGTTACATTCAGGGGATGTCATAGCCCACACAGCAATACTCTTTCTATTAAGAAAGATCTCCTGATTCAGCTTGGAAACATCTCTGAAAATGACTGAGAACAGCATCTTAGAAATCCAAAGCCTGCCCAATTTCTTCAGGCAAAGGTAACAACCAGCTTTCTGGGAGAACTTTAACCACATGCACAGGGAAGTTGTAAAATAATCCCTGTGAGCCCTCCCTGTTCCTGGTTTACCTGTAGAAAGTCTTCCTACTAATAGGCCAAACGTTGTCCTGCAACATCATTACATTTATTTAGAGCTTTTGGGTGGAGGGGGGAGTATGGGGCTTATTAAGAGTAGTGTTCACAAGTACAGTATATCTCCCACACTTAAAGACTGAGGAAGAAGGAATCATCTTAGCTTGCAGTGAAAGGTAAGCACAGCATTCTAAAGCAGGTCTGTACCTTCCACAAAATAGTGGACTATCTCGATAAGCACAAGGAGGGGACTTTTATTGCACTGAGCATGCAGAGTGAGCACGTGTTGAAGGCAGGGAACAATTCACTTCATTTAGGGTCTTGAGTAAACCCAGTGACTATCCCAGGCCATCTTTACCTTGGTCACTATGTGTTTGCAAATATTCCAATTTTCAAAGTCAAGGGAGCGACTGAAAAAGAAATACCTCAAACACAAAAAACAGATGAGGGTCTGCAAAAAGTCATTCATCACAAAA